ATATAAAGTATTGTGTTGAGGGTATTTATCCGCAAATTCGTCTTTAAGATTTTTCAACAATTTGTGTTATTTTAAAATTATTAGACGTATTTATGCTTCATGTTGTACTTTGTTATTAATTTATTATGCATGCCAATTTAGTTTTACTATTGATTTGTTATTTTACATTTTCGTCAAACACTTTAATAATTAGATTTCTATATTATATATACCACACATATTTATATAGCCATGCATAAGAGCAATTTATATATATACATACACATATGGTTTACAAGAAATTGCCCTAAATAAAAAAAATTTAAAAAAAAAAGGCCGGAAATAAAAAAAGCCCGTTAGGCCCGCTAAGCCCACGAGCCCGGCCCATTTAGCCCAGGACCATATGGGCTTAGGCCCGTCACGGGCTGGTCCTACCCGTTGAGCCCACGAAGCCCGGGACCGCCAGAGCCCGGGACCGCTAAGCCCAGGCCCGTTTAGCCCGGCCCGTTAAGCCCATTTAGGCCCGGGCCCGGGACCACATACAGCCTTAGCTGTAAGTAAATAAAATAGTAATCTTTCTGAAAAATAAAACAGAAAGTTAGTAGAAATAATTCTGGAAAATAATATTCGAACTTCAAAATAATTTTTGAAACATTGAAGGAACAAATCGAGCCCACTGAATACACAGTGTGTCCTTAAGGAAATTATTCCCCTCAAGTACCCGAGGTTTTGGAATATATCCTCCCAGGATAGAACGATTTAACTCACCAGTGTATCGGTACCTAAAACTCTAGTGATCGGCGAACCACTCGATGGTCGTAAAACACACTGGAATATTTTGTGCAGAAGAAGAAGAAGATTCAGAAAATTTTGTAAGTAAATATTCTGGGATTTGAAGGTCTATTTATAGCCAACTTGGTGATGTTTCTGAAGAGGTTTGCAACCTTTCAGAATAGTCATGACTGTTGGAACAGGTGTGACCCTCTGAAGAGGTTTGCAACCTTTCAGAACAGTCATGGCTGTTGGAAATTTTTGCGGGAGATTTAAAACGAATTTAAATTAATCCGGGAAAGAAAAACGGGCTAGACCGGACCGGGTCGCGGGTCATCCCTCCATCATTTTCCATTCACACCTCTTTTGTTATTATTTCCTAAATAACAAACCCAACAATCCCCCACATGAATGGGGAATGGCTATAAACTCAAAGGAATGCACGGACGTGTGTGTGTTTTACAAGCAAGAATTGATTGCCTCTGGATAAGTGGGTTTCCCTTTAAACTTTCCGTAGTGAACTTATATCGGATATACTCGGTCAATCGGTAGATTTGATATCTTTGAACCGTCGAGCTTTGTTGTATACCTAGACAACATAAGTCACACAATCAATCCTTAACCATCTATGGTTCTCATGGTTGTGTTCGTTTCAGCCATGAACACCGCCTGGTTTCATGAGTGCTTAGAGAATGGGCCTTTACTTTCATTCTCCTTGAAGCGGCTTACACTTCACACTCACATAGGTGATTCCTAAACGTGTAGTCCTAAAGACACACTATCTGGTCATATCCTGCCAGACTTAGCAAATCATTAAAAAGCTTTAAGCTTTATTGACTCATCAAAAAAGCATTAATGCTTTACCTCGTTTTTGAACATTGTCTTCATCACGAGAATGGGTTGAGTTAGTTGACAATGTTGAACCGTCATTCATAACTTTGTTTGATCTCTTTGAACCTAGCTCTTGGGATCTCCAGTCTGCTAGGTAGAGTTACCGCCATGATGACTTGTCCTAGGCCTTTAACCCCATTCCCTTTGATGATCTTTCAACTGCCTCTCTAGATAGGCCTTTTGTAAGTGGATCCGACACGTTATCTCTTGACTTTACGTAGTCAATTGTGATAACACCACTAGAGAGTAGTTGTCTAACGGTATTGTGTCTCCGTCGGATATGACGAGATTTTCCGTTATACGTAACGCTCCCTGCCCTACCTATTGCCGCTTGACTATCACAATGTATACATATAGGTGCCAAAGGTTTGGGCCAAAATGGAATATCTTCCAAGAAATTCCGGAGCCATTCAGCTTCTTCACCGGCCTTGTCTAAGGCTATAAACTCAGCCTCCACCGTAGAGCGGTCAATGCACATTTGTTTGGACGATTTCCAAGACATCGCTCATCCACCGACAGTTTAGAATCGGTTGAACCGGTGATCTAATTTGCATCACTATACCCCTCTATTATCGTGAGATACTTATTGTAGTGCAAAGCATAATTTGGAGTATATTTCAAATACTTCAAAACTCGTTTCATTGTCATGAACGTTCAATGCAAACTTCCTTATGTTGTAGACTAATACGTCTCGATTTTCGATTGCATATCAGATTATTGACTACACTTAATGTAGTAATTATAATAACAGCGGGAATGATTGGCATCAGTTGTGGCCACAACCTTTTAATATATAACACATTTCGTAATCATTCCGCCATTTTCAAGCATTTGTATGCTATTCATTCATATGTCTATATGATATGCAAATTATAGCACCTCCATTCATGAAACAAATCCAAGTTGCAATGGATTTTGGTCATGTTCATCGGTTAGTTCACCTCATTATAGACCAACGTATTAATATATTCGTTCATGAACGGTCATGTCTATACAGACGTATCTTTCTATGAAAAGTCACAACCTTCAAAGTGACATTATTTCATAAAAGAACTAAACAATATAAATTTTCATTAAAGAAAATGACCTTTCGAGAAAGGCATGTGACCAACTTCCGAATTAGTAGTTTCATCAACTAGTCTTTATTAAGACTAAACAACTGATGACTTTACCAACTACTATATCAATGGAGTTCAAAAATTATATAATTTAGACATTACGTCTAACATTGGCTTTTGTCATGCATAAGCTAAAAGCCCCCACATTTTAAATATTTCATCAACATATCATATATAATCAAATAATGACTATATGATTTGAAGTATTCTTAATGTAAACACATTTGTTTACACTCATTAATTTTTGAAACCATTTGACAATATTATTTGGTCAAATCTCGCATGTCATTGTTTACTAAACAATTGTATCCAAACGTTACGACTTTCCCGGTTTCCCGGCCGGAGGAACAGCAGTGCGGCGTGACGAGGCTATCGTCGTTTGCACCAACAGTCGCAGAAGGAATTCCATTCTCATTTGCCATTTCTTACAGTGAACAACAGAAGAGATCAATTAATGGCAAAACCAAAACAGTAAATAATACTGTAATTAATAAACAGTACGTAATAAAAATAACTGAAGTTTTTATATACTGTTTTACAGAAAAAATGATGAAGTTTTTATGTTCTTCAAATCGTTTTCTGAATTTCAATACCCTGATGAAGTTTTTATATCTTCAAATCAGAATAGTAAAATTCAGACAGAATACAGAATATAATAAATATAATTTCCTTAAGATTGTTATTTATCTGTATTGCTGTAAGTAAATAAAACAGTAATCTTTCTGAAAAATAGAACAGAAAGTTAGTAGAAACAATTCTGGAAAATAATATTCGAACTTCAAAATAATTTTTGAAACGTTGAAGGAACAAATCGAGCCCACTGAATACACAGTGTGTCCTTAAGAAAATTATTCCCCTCAAGTACCCGAGGTTTTGGAATATATCCTCCCAGGATAGAACGATTTAACTCACCAGTGTATCGGTATCTAAAACTCTGGTGATCGGCGAACCACTCGATGGTCGTAAAACACACTGGAATATTTTGTGCAGAAGAAGAAGAAGATTCAGAAAATTTTGTAAGTAAATATTTTGGGATTTGAAGGTCTATTTATAGCCAACTTGGTGATGTTTCTGAAGAGGTTGCAACCTTTCAGAACAGTCATGGCTGTTGGAACAGGTGTGACCCTCTGAAGAGGTTTGCAACCTTTCAGAACAGTCATGGCTGTTGGAAATTTTTGCGGGAAACTTAAAACGAATTTAAATTAATCCGGAAAAGAAAAACGAGCTAGACCGGGTCGCGGGTCATCCCTCCACCATTTTTCATTCACACCTCTTTTGTTATTATTTATTAAATAACAAACCCAACACTTCTCTCAAAATCCTAGTTGTTGATACACTTCCTTCAATTATTGGAACGCTTTGCTTCTAACCTTCCAATTTGTTGTTTCTTTTCTCTTAATTTTTAGAAAAAAAGTTTCTTGCTCTTGTGCCGTATTTACTAGCACCACTCTAAATTTGTAATCCTTTTGTTTAATCACTCTAGATGGTTGTCATTATTATCAATTAGACTTCTCTTTTCTATCCCGTTAATTATGCAAGTAAAAATAAGGGTAAAGATCACTTCTGGTCTGCGGCAAAACTATTTATATTCAACAATCGTAGAAGTACGTACACACACACACACACACACACACACATATATANATCTCTCCGATCTTAACCATAGATCTCAAATTCAGAATGAAAAAATATTACTTCCTATGTTCCAGATTATGTGAACCTATTTCCTTTTTGGTCTGTTCCAAAAAGAATGACCCCTTTCTAAATTTGGTAACAATTTAGCTTAAACTTATAATTCTACCCTTAATAAGAAGCTTTTATAACCACACAAATACTTTGGGCTCCTTTTTGGCTTGTTTAGGACCACAGATTCCAAAAGTCTTCATTTTTTCTTAAACTTCGTGCCCAATCAAACAGGTTCACATAAATTAAAACTGAGAAAATATTATTTTAAAAGCGGTTATAAAATGTCATTTATCCAAACAATAAGAACACAAAAGTTATGGATAAATTTTAGTGGAATATTACCGAATATTTTCCACTTGACAGACCCCTATGAAGGGGAAAGTATGACGGACACGGAGAAGAATTCAACAACATATATAGCTTAGACAAAGCTTATTTTTCAGATCCAACAGTTGATATCTTACAGCAGTGGTCCAACTCAGCAACCAACGTGTCATTAATTATTTTATCCCACACGTGGCTCAGAAATTCCGAGTCGCCTCTATATATTTGCTACTAAACCTCTCTTACTTTTGGCTTACTTCTAAATTTAAGTCTATTCTCTCGTTCTCTCTTATTTTCACAAAACATTCAAATATATCCATACCCCTCAATTTCTTAATATCTCTCCCTCTCTTTCCTTATATCTTTTTCCTCTTAAAATTGTTCTAAATTTGTTCCTTTAATTTTAGTCTCTTCATCCGATATTTATTGGGAAAGAAAAGAAAAAGATGAAGGGGAATACAGGAAATCCACTAGCTTTGACATCCTTGAATCACATATCCCTTGTTTGCAGATCAGTTGAAGAATCCATTGATTTTTACAAGAATGTTCTTGGATTTGTCCCCGTTAGGAGGCCTGGATCATTCAATTTTAATGGCGCTTGGTAATTTTATGCAACATTCATTTTTTAACATTAATTATTTTAGGGACTGGAAGCTTGAAAAAAGTAAAAATATAAAACAGCACGATTGATATGATATGATATGATATAATCCGTTTCAATTATAAATAATTAACCATAGATCCTTGTCAAAATTTTGGTAGGTTGTTTGGTCATGGGATAGGGATTCATCTCCTTCAGTCTGAAGATCCAGAAAGATTGCCAAAGAAAACTGAAATTAATCCCAAGGACAATCATATATCTTTCCAGGTTATTATTTTTTCTTTTAATATTTCATCTGTATATTTCTAATAGCTTCATAGTATTGATGCATGATCGTGTTATTTGTATAATGTTAAAAGTTTCAACCACTCTGTCGATAATGCCGTGTGCTGTTAATTACAAGAATTTGTGATTTTTTCTAACACAAATTGTACATCTACTTGTTGATGTACACGCCTCTAATTCTCTACAGAGGAGTAAATAGTTTTCGTCCAAACGGAACTACACAGGGAAAAAGAAAATTACAGATTGAATTGTCATCTCCATTCATAATAAATAGAAATCATAAAGAGGATATAGAACAGAGAAAAGAGAAAATGTGTGAATAATACGTATTGGATTTAGATATTAGTACTGTTATTCGACTAGGGATAACAGATGGGAGGATAAGATTGAATTTGAACATGTTAAATAAATGAGCATGTCATTAATCCGCCAAAAAATTACTTGGACTGAGACAGATTTGGTTAATATGAACTAAATAATGAATCATAGCTAACTAGACATACAATAACGAAAAGTAACTTTTTATAGCAAGTTTGGTAAATGGGAGAGTAGAGTAATTACATACTCCTTCTGTCCAATTTTTAGATGTCCGCTATTACTCGTCCAGATTTAGAAAACCAATGAATAATTTACCTTTTTTTACCCTTCTTATTAAGTACTACTTATTTTTAATTTATTTTTCAACGTATAATAAATAGGAGAAAATAGTAAAATTATCGTGTTATTTATTATTTCTTAAAGGGTGTGCCAAGTCAATAGTGGACAAGTAAACTTGAACGGAGAGAGTACTAGCCAACTGCATTATTAACATAAATTATTTATACGTACATAGGAGTGCTAGCCAACTGCATTTTTAACGTATAAATTATTTATACTATCAGTATATATATATATATATATATATATATATATATATATATATATATATATATATATATATATATATAACTCAAGCTCATGTTTTAATTAAAGTTTGATTGATTGATAAGCAGTGTGAGAGCATAGATGCAGTGGAAAAGAAGCTCACACAAATGGGGATAGAGTACGTTAGACAGCTAGTGGAAGAAGGTGGAATATACGTAGATCAGCTATTTTTCCACGACCCAGATGGTTTTATGGTTGAAATTTGCAACTGTGACAACTTGCCTGTGATTCCATTGGTTGGGGAAATGGCTAGATCTTGCTCCAGAGTTAATCTTCATCAACCTCAGCCAACACAGCAACAACCCATAGTACATGTCCAAGTCCAACCTTTAATTAAACTAGATTAATGTTCCTAGTTTAAGATTATAAGTTGGTTACTTACAATGTTTGTTACAACAGCTTTTTCTTTTTCAGAATGTTGTTGCTTTCTTTGTATGATAGTTTTGGTAGCCCTATTGATTTGAAATGTGTGTTCTGGATTTAGGTCCAAGTGTACAACCTTTCGATTAATTGGACAAAAATACCTGAACTAACTTTGTCAATCACGTGAAAACTACAAAACCTAGATGAAAACAGAAATGAGAAAGAAAAAAAAAACATGTAAAAAGATTAAGTTAAAAAGGAAAAAAGGGAAAAACAGAGATACATGTGACACTTCAATATGTTTCAAGCTTTTCGGGGAGAAAACAAAATAGCAAAATATAAAATTGGCTCGCGACCGAACTAATAACATTTGCTAGCCAAAAAATATATAAAATACGTATATTTTATATATATATATAAGAAAAAGCTCAAGTGCTTTTTTACCTTTGATTCTAGTCATGTTTGACCAAAAAATATAGATCTTGGTTTAATTAATTAAATTTATGTAAATGAGGGTCAATCTTAGTTAACAATAATATTTCAAAGTTGAAGTTCTCAGAAGTGCCCTAAATGCTACATAGATATATTTCAATAGCGGCGGCAGCACATAACCAATATTTAAGAAGTCAAACGAAATATTGTAGCATTAAATATTGTTGAATAGCAATAAATGGCATTTAAGTAAATAGAATGAATGAGTCATCCAAGAAAGGATGGAGCCGGTGAGTGTTTTTTCTGACAATATGAGTAATGGACAATCCTTTAAATATCTGAGTTATTCTCGGATCTGGTGGAAAAGTGTAGATGATGATAGGCTATAATAGCATATTTTAGTCGCTTATTACACTCGAATTTACTGCACTTTAATTGAGTTTGCGCTTTAATCGCTAGTGTTTTGCACTAATTGTGTGTTTTATGCGTTGTAGGTGTGATTCCGAGCTATATAGATGTTATGGAATGAATTTAAGTGATTTGAAGCTTTGAAGTCTGAGTAAAAGCTCAAGGAATTAAGCCGGGATCGTGTTCGGAGGTCAAATGATAATTAAGTACGAACGAAGACTTGAGGAGGCATATTGCGCATTGTCTAGTAAAATAGATATAACTTTTTTCTCAGAACTCCATTTGGGCTCCACAATATATGGTTGGAAACCTAACTCAAAGGGCTACAACTTTCATGTTTTACGTTTTTCCAAATTCCAAACGGTATAGGGTGAAAAACCGCGGTTTTTCCGCGACCGCGGCAGAACCGCGGCAGAGTGTACTCGCGGACAACTGAAGAATCAGAGGGCATGTTTGGCCGCGGTTCCACCGCGACCGCGGCAAAACCGCGGCAGGAAGCGAAAATTTCAGGGACTAAAGTGCAAAACATGGGATTTTAAGTCCTAAACCCTATATTAAACAAAGGAGGCCGGCCAAGAACAAGAAGAGGACATATTTTGGACACAAATTAGACCTAAGGAGGCGGAGAGACACTACTTTAGGGTTAGACAACACCCTTGGAGGCAAGAACACTTGGGAGCAAGGCGGAGAATTCTTCTACGAGTTTTTTTCCTTCCTCTTCCTATTTTTAATTGTTGGTTATGACTTTTAGTATTGTAGTTTTACATACTATTATGAATAGCTAATTTGTTGTCTAGAGTTTTGATAGAACCTTTTGTAGGATAAATTCTTGTTATGTTTTTATATAATGAGCCATAGCTTTTCTCTATTTGTTCAACTACGTTTATATTCTGGTTGATTGAAGAGCTCTCAATTAGCTGTGCCTATTTAGTATGCATAACTCGGGAGAGAGTGCATATTTAGGTAGTTGTTAAACAACACCACTCCCAAAGTATATGGGGGATCAATAACCGAGGGTTTAAAGGCGGGATTAGGGATAACGAAGCCTTGGGTGCGATCTGAAGTGAGCTGTATTAAAAGCCAGCTAGCGTAGCTCGGGAGAGTGCGTCTAGTAAATTGTCGTAATAGCTCGGGAGAGATTTACGGTAATAAGAGTGCTCATGATCGGTAGAGAATACTTAGGCGAAATTATAGAAGACATAGCGGGAAGGATTCCGACAATAGGGGAAATCATAACTCTAGACCTCCTTAATCTTTTCTATAACCCTCAGTATCGTTAGTTGTTAATTTACTATTTTAATTTGTTAGTTAAGTAGTTAAACACAAGAATCTTAATATCTACAAGTTAGAAATTGTTCAAGCTTGTCTTCTTGGTGATAGTGAACAGCTGTAGCTAAACCTTAGTTCTCTGTGGGATTCGACTCCGGACTTGTAAACCGGATTATATTTGCAGCGACCGCATTGTCCTTTTTATAAGGCATAGTTGGGAGTGATCAGTAGACAAGAATCTTTGGCCAAAAAGTTATGTTTTTCTCCTTGCAATAAGTTCTAATTCTCCTCTTTAAAGTCAAAGAGTATTTTACACATGAATATCACATGTCCCCTATCATTGTGTCTCTATCTTTTTTATAGATAACATGTTCCTAGAACCCTAATAGTATAAGTGCGGAGAATATCCATTAGAATATTCTCCTTAGGTCCTAGCTTAAAGCTAGTCGTTATAACTCTGTCATAGGCCCACGACCTCGGCAACGGTATTGACGACTCCTCGACTTCGATCTTTGCTGACTCTTCGACCATGGCCTTCATTGTTGATTAGATCACTTCGACCCATGGCAACATGAAGATGCTTTACCGATATCATTTTGACTTATATTCTAGAGATAGATTTCGACCCATACAGTTAGTTCCTCCGCTTATTGAGGCTAATTTTGCGGGCAGGTTCGATGAGCGGTTCATGTTGTCGGTGGTCGAGCTAATCGATTGTACCACACGAGTCATGGTTATTATGACGAACAGGTGATGTGGCCTTCTGTGAGGCTAATATTTCAAAATGATTCGAATTTCTCGGGCAATTCGTTGGAGTTATATCATCCACAGGCCAGGATGATGTCATAATATCATGTGTCATTATGACACATGTTCCCGATGCATTGCTTTGTTTTTCGTGTGTCCTTTGATTAGACCTGCAGCTTCGGTTCTGAAGCTAATGATGAACCATTTTCGGTTTCGGTGCCATGACCTTTATAAATAGAGATCATTGAATCCGATTTTGGAGTTTAAACTTTCTAGCGTTTTTAAGACACCTTATTTCTTTCGTGCTTTCTTCTTCTCTAAATTTCTTCTGTTTTAAGTGACCTATATTCTTCTTTATTCCTTCTTGTTTGTTACTTCACTGCATTGAATCATGTCTGAAGTGCCTTTTAACGATGGTGAGGGGAGCTGTGTTATTCCCTTGGCAGTGTTATTCCCTTCTCGTAGGGAGAGTGTTTCCACCACCGTTGAGGATGAAACTTTCCTGTCGGTGGAAGAAATAGTCTCACGCAACCCTAATTCCATATCCGATTTTACCAAAGCTCCTGGGGCCGTACCTGGAGATTTTCGATCAGTATGATGATAAAGGAATTAGCGGAGTTCAAGTCCAAATCTATCCTTCCTGATCATATCGAGTTGATCCCTACTAAAGGGGACGCGGTACAGGTCCACCGTCCCGGGTATTGTGACCTCCATGCCTATCCTTTCCAAGTTGGCTATTCTTTTCCTCTCTTTCCGCTGGTCGAGGAGTTCTGTCATTACTATAGCATTTGGCCAGCTCAGCTTGCGCCGTACGTCTATAAAATTATAAAGATGCTTACCAATTTTGCCGAGCTAGCCGGGGTCGAATTGACACTTTGGCATTTGATACACCTATATTCCCCTAGCTTTTATAGGGAAACGATGTTGAATCTTCATCACCGAGGGGGTAAATGCTTGGTGGTGAAGATGGATGACAAGGCCAACGATCAATTCTAGTTCAACTTCTTTTTTGTCAGAATCGAGAATGTGGTGGCCAATGTTGACAGTTTTCCTGAGGCTTAGAACTATACTTGTAAGTACCTGGTTTCTAGAGTTTGCAGCGGATATATGCCTTTTTGTTGTAGTCGTTGAGGTCTAATTGAACGGGGTCATGGTCTTCTATAGTCGAATCCGCAGCCTCGACCATTTCGGGATCCATGATGACGTCCCCGGTCATTCCTTGCGTCGACCTCGGCCCTGTTGATTACTATGCCTCTTTTTCCTTGTATTTTCTCTGTTAGGTTGTTGTGTTCTCTATGGCAATTTGGTAGCATTCTCGAGACATGCGCTATTCCCGATGTATTGATAAATGGGGATTTTGACTGCTTATTAGCACCTTTTAGCCTTTGTTTTAGTCCGAAAGTATTGAATTGTGTTCCCGAAACTAATGAAATTGTGCAAATTGCAGGAACGCTGGAAGTTTGGTCTCCCACAATGAAATCCAACTCAAAAAGGAGTGTTCCGAAGCACAAGGAGATAAAGGGCGTAGAAGCTAAGATGTGCGGTCCGCATAAGGAATTCTGCATCCGCAGAAGAAATTGCGGATCGCAGAATTCCATATGCGGTCGCAAGTCAAGCAGCAAAACCCAATAGGATTTTTAGCAATGTGCGGACCGCATATGAATTGTGCGGCTGCAGAGCTGGGCTTTCATTGACAAAGATTCAAAGTTCAGAGAATATGCAAAAAGACCAAGTCCTGAAGCCTTTGTGAAGTCTCGCGGCCGCAGTCCAAATGTGCGGCCGCAGAACTCACCTTCCTGCCAGCTGAAGAAATTTGCGGACCTTACGTGGAATTTTGCGGCCGCAAAACCTCCCGAGAGGCATTTTTGTTCGCGATTTTTGGCCCTGTATAAATACACGAGTTTCACAAATTTAGGTCAAGCTTGAACATTAAAAGTTGTTGTAGCCGTTTCTTTTTACTACTTTAGGAAGTTTTACATTATTTTGATGTTTAAACATTAGATTTCATCATTTAATCTTTCATTATGAGTTTAATTAGCTTTTCTTCTTTATTTTCTTCAGAATCTGCTATGAGTAGCTAGATTTTTACTAGTGTTGTGACCCAACCCTAGTGTGTAAATCTTATGGGTGATTAATTTAATGATTGTTGATGATTGGGTGTTGATTATTTAGCTTAGTTCATGCTTCAATTTTAGAATTAATGGTTACAAACATTGATTCATGCCTATTTGACTTAGTCTTTACTTGAGAAAGAGGTACCTAGTCTAGGACAACTTGGCTAACAAGGGATTGGTTTAATTGAGAAATTGATTTACCTAATTAA